CCCCAAAACCCCAAAACCCCAAAACCCCAAAACCCCAAAACCCCGTTAAATTACACCCTTTTTGATAATTAAGATATAGGTATTAGAAATGTTATAGAACTCATTAATCCGGCTATTAACGATGAGTCAAGGAGAGAAAAATAATTATTTACTTTCCTTTAGGGTTGCCAAGGATAAATAGTAAATATCCTCAAGCTCCTGATTTAATTCATCACGGAACAGAGGATTTTTGGCTTTAGCCTTGGAACCTAAGAACTCATCACGAGCTTTCTTAAAGAAGTTTTGGAACATAATAGCGTATTTTTGTCAGCCATGAAGTTCTTCTTCTCAGTTGAAGAGAAACAGTAAAGAAGGCTTCTAATTCTTTTGAAGTTTCTTCTCTTAATATAACTGTCATTCTTTTTGTAGTTTTGAGAATGCAGAATAATAATCATACTATCTAAGAATTCATCAGAGTCAGTCTGGTATTGACAGTCTGCGAATTCCGTCCGAATAAAGTCAGTGATCAATTCATCAATAGAGCATCTATTCGGATTAAATATATCCTTCTCCCATTTCTTTAAAAGAGGTTCAAACTTGTCTTTGAAGTAATTGTTCATTCCTCTAAAGCAAGTTCTACCAGGGCGAAGGCATTTGTCTTAGTTTTCTTTTTATGTAGTCTTTTACTTATATTCTTGAGACTTTTCAATGTCTTTGGCAGCAAGCTTTCATCTTCCTTTGTCGATGCTATTTTTCCTAATAATTAAAAGTCCTTGCTGGCCTTAAAGTTATCCTTGTTTTCAGGCATCATAAATGTTTCAAAGGATTGTGGGAAGGTCACAAAGTAATCATCACAATTTTTATTGAAACATGCATTGGCGTCCTGATTTGCAATATTTTGATCAGGATCTTTGATCTCGTCGGATCTGATTCTTTCTTCCATCACAATTCAGGTGTTAGAAATTCAACAGTGGTCATTAGGATTTTTAGGATTAAATTTATTGTCCTGGAAATTTCTGTTGGAAATCCAATGACATCCTCATATTTCCAATGGCTTTTTGATGCATTCTAAGGAAATTCTGATTTATTAAAATCTTGATCAGCGTGGAAATTAAAATTGAACTGTATAGTAGAGACATCATCAGACTTAGTAGACATTCTCCTTCTCCTCTCAAATGAAGAAACGGAGGATCTACGCTCAATAGGATCTTCTATGGATGAATCTCCAGCACACATTCGAGCTGCATCCTGACTTCTGTCTCTGAAGTAGCTCATTTTTGGATCATCATCTTGGCTTGCATTTAAGTTTGAAAAGAGGAAATTAAATGATTCTGTCATTCTTGTTTTCTTAAAGATTTTTAAATAAAGGTATTTTAAGAATATATTATAAATTATTCTCCCAATTTTATATAACTTGCTGGGGTTTTGGGGTTTTGGGGTTTTGGGGTTTTGGGGTTTTGGGG